CACTCCAGTAGGAGCCCCATGTCTGCCTCCTGGTTCCTCATATATTTTAGACAGACTCTAATCCAATGCAACCTGCCCCCGGTCAGTTTTCTAGCCATTCATTTTGAATAGGGTCAGCCTTTACTGCAGCCAGCCAAGGAGTCTCAACAGCTTCCCTTCAACACACCCCTCCGCTGGTTATCTTCATCCTTCTTATCCTATGTCTGTTCAGCCTTCTTCTCTGTGTTAGCTGCCCAAAGATCTCTCAGTTATTGGGTAAGAGCTTATCTGGTGATGGATGGCCCTTCATTAAATCGTATTTATCATCTTAGACAGATCGTCTTATCTTAATTCATGTCTCTTATCCCTGTTTCTCCAAGGTCCTTCGTCAGCATCTGTCATCCTCATTCATTCATTCTCTCAGCACCTCATCATCTCTTCATTCTCCCCTTCATCAGGTTCAGCTGCGTCATCGTCCTTCTGTCTAAATCATGCTCATGCGTACCCAGGCTCACTCACCACATGAATGCCTACGCAGGCTCACTCACCACACGCATGCCTATGCGACCCATTCTCCATTCTTATGCCTATGCAGGCTCACTCACCTGCATCCATTTATCATTTTCATGCCTTCGTGGCTCAGTACATTCTTCATCGCTGCATGATCTATCATTTCACGCCTACGCAGACTCTGTCACCATTCTCTTGCCTATGTAGATTCATCTATCATTCTTTTGCCTTCGCAGGCTCCCTCACCAGCATCCATTTAGCACTCTCCTGCCTTCGCAGCACAATTCATTCATCATCTTCAACGCCTTCATGGCTTGACCTATCATTCTCATGCCTCTGCTGTCTCATTTTCCTCAGTACCTTCGCGGCTCAACTTCATCCCCTGTCCACCTTTGTAACTCTGTCCTTAGTCTATTCAACTCGATTCATCTTTTCCATCCCCGCTTGGGGATTTTGGGATTTCTGCTACATTTTTAACTACAAGATTAAATCAGAAAGTGAGAGGGAAGACCAGTTAAAGAGCAAGGTTGACAACTGTCAGGACAAAGTTGCATTAGGGTGTTATTCTGGGCTCCCTCCAGGTCCCAGTAAAGGGCTTTAGGGCAAGCAAATCCAAATAGGACATTGACAATGTAAGCTTAAAACCCTTTCACATAGCAGTGGCAGTGATGGGATTTGAACCCATGCCTCCACAGAGACTGGAGCCTAAATCCAGCGCCTTGGACCACTCGGCCACACTACCAAGACCACACAGTTGTTTGTTGTCTGATTTCGGCAAACTTTTTAGAGAGAATGAAAAACATTTTTGGCCTTCACTGTCGGTCCAAATAAGTTGTGAAAATGGTACCGCTAATGATTTTGCAGGTATTGAACTTACTGCTCCTTAGTTTATCTCACCTAAAAGCCTTTTAATGGACAATACATGGAAAAAATTAGTTTTAGTACTTTTATTTGAACGAAACCAAAGTGATCAGAAAGTGAGTGCAGTGGACAATTGCACGAACACTGTTGCATTCGGGTGTTATTCTGGGCTCCCTCGGGTTCCCGGTAAAGGGCTTTAGACCAAGCAAATCCAAATAGGACATTGACATGGTCAAGGAGAAATTCGGGTGTTGTGTGTTTTGAAATGATGAGGTAAAACGGTTTCACAATTGTTTAAATGGTGCTTTTTCTGGAGTTCCTTGAATCATCACGTGGCATAAATCACATACAAAATCCTTTGCTTTTGTGAGGGTGCTAAACGTGTGTTCTTTGGAGAATGCAGGCATCGATCCCGCTACCTCTCACATGCAAAGCGAGCGCTCTACCACTTGAGCTAATTCCCCATGAACAGTGGCTTCAAGACTACCGATTTTGTGCAACCCTCGATATGGGTTGCATTAGCAATTGCTAATGTGTATCTATAGACTTATTTCATAGTGGCTTGTCTGCTTGGTTCCCCATTAACTGGCTTGGCAACATTTACAGGTACTAAGACAGGGATGGTTGAATCCTACACCCTTCCATATTCTCGGTGATAAGATTTAGCAAGCGCCTCGTCAAAACTTTGTTTTAACTCTGTTGTTTGAGAAGACCTTTTCAAATTTTGCAAATGAAATCGAATAGGAACGCCTCTTCTGTGTGTCTTTTATTCATCTTTTGCCCATGAGAAGAGATCAAGACTTCTTTGCTTTCAATTTTGCAACAACTTTTTTAAAGTCTCACTAATTGGAAGTTTTGTAAATAAATTTGCATTCGGGATTTAGACCTGGGGAAGCTGAGTTGTGTCACGTGCACTAGTGGATTCTTGTTAAAAAAATGATTGTCTTTTACTGGACCCTGATTCCACTAGAAATTTGTTGGAAAAAGTGTCCAGTTTATGGACAAGCTTAGGGCAAAAAACCACTTGTTTTATGTATGTGCTGTACAAACAGACCCGTTTCCCGGACTCATGTCCAACAGGACCAAAAGGGGTTTCCTGTAGTGGTGAAAAAGAGTTGCAAGGATTTGAAAACCTTATCTATAGGTGCTTGGGCGAGAACGGTTTCAATCCATCGACCTCTAGATTATGGGATCCTCACGATTTCGCTGTGCTACTATGCTTTCTTGTTCAACCAAGCAGCTTGCCAGAATTTTGGGTTTCCTACTACATTTTTCACCACCAATAAATCAGAAAGTGAGAGGGAAGTCCAGTCAAAGAGCAAGGTCTACTTTTAGCTTTGCCTGCTGCAAGGCAGTTGAAAAGACAAAGCCATGTAGAATTTGAGAAAAGGTGTTAAAAATGACCTGAATTGTAAGACAAGCTTAATTTGTTAACTGTGTTAAAATGTTTTTAAGGGTCCAGTGTAAGCTTAAAACCCTTTCACATAGCAGTGGCAGTGATGGGATTTGAACCCATGCCTCCACAGAGACTGGAGCCTAAATCCAGCGCCTTAGACCACTCGGCCACACTACCAAGACCGCACAGTTGTTTGTTGTCTGATTTCGGCAAACTTTTTAGAGAGAATGAAAACATTTTTGGCCTTCACTGTCGGTCCAAATAAGTTGTGAAAATGGTACCGCTAATGATTTTGCAGGTATTGAACTTACTGCTCCTTTTTTTTCTCACCTAAAAAGCCTTTTAATGCAAGTACAGGGAAAAAATTAGTTTTAGTACTTTTTTTTAAACGAAACCCCAATGTTTTATCAGAAAGTGAGTGGAGTGGACAATTGCACGAACACTGTTGCATTCGGGTTTTTCTGGGCCCCCCTGGGTTCCCGTAAAGGGCTTTAGACCAAGCCAAAACCCAATGGGACATTGACATGGTCAAGGAGAAATTGGGGTGTTGTGTGTTTGAAATGATGAGGTAAAAGGGCTCAAAATTTTTTTAAATGGTGCTTTTTTCTGGAGTTCCTTTTAAATCATCACGTGGCATAAATCACATACAAAGTCATTTGTTTTTTGTGAGGGTTCTAACGTGTGTTTTTTGGGAATGCAGGCATCGACCCCCGCTACCTCTCACATGCAAGCGAGCACTCTACCACTTGAGCTAATTCCCCATGAACAGTGCCTTCAAGACTACATTTTTGTGCAACCCTCGATAGGGTTTGCATTAGCAATTTTGCTGATGTGTATCTATAGACTTAAAATTTGTTTAAACTCGGTTTGAAAAGACCCTTTTCAAATTTTGCAAATGAAATCGAATAGGAACGCCTCTTCTGTGTGTCTTTTATTTTTTTTTCCCCCATGAGAAGAGATCAAGACTTTTTTGCTTTCAATTTTGCAACAATTTTTTAAAAAGTCTCACTAATTGGAAGTTTTGTAAAAAAATTTTTGCATTCGGGATTTAGACCGGGGAAGCTGAGTTGTGTCACGTGCACTAGTGGATTCTTGTTAAAAAAAATGATTGTCTTTTACTGGACCCTGATTCCACTAGAAATTTTTGTTGGAAAAAGTGTCCAGTTTATGGAAAAGCTTGGGGCAAAAAACCACTTGTTTTATGTATGTGCTGTACAAACAGCCCCTTTTCCCGGACTCATGTCCAACAGGACCAAAAGGGGGGGGTTTTTCTGTAGTGGTGAAAAAGAGTTGCAAGGATTTAAAAACCTTATCTATAGGTGCTTGGGTGAGAACGGTTTTTCAATACATCGACCTCTAGATTATGGGATCCTCACGCTTCGCTGTGCTACTATGCTTTCTTGTTAAACCAAGCAGCTTGCCAGAATTTTGGTTTTTCCCTACTACTTTTTTTCACCACCAATAAATCAGAAAGTGAGGGGGAAAGTCCAGTCAAAGAGCAAGGGCCTACTTTTATTTTGCCTGCTGCAAGGCAGTTGAAAAGACAAAGCCATGTAAATTTGAAAAAAGGTGTTAAAAATGACCTGAATTGTAAGACAAGCTTAATTTTTAACTGTGTTAAAAGTTTTTAAGGGGCCCATGTAAGCTTAAAAAACCCCTTTCACATAGCAGTGGCAGTGATGGGATTTGAACCCATGCCTCCACAGAGACTGGAGCAAAATCCAGCGCCTTAGACCACTCGGCCACACTACCAAGACCGCACAGTTGTTTGTTGTCTGATTTCGGCAAATTTTTAGAGAGAAGAAAACATTTTTTGGCCTTCACTGTCGGTCCAAATAAGTTGTGAAAATGGTACCGCTAATGTTTTTTGCAGGTATTGAACTTACTGCTCCTTTTTTTATCTCCCCCTAAAAGCCTTTTTAATGACAATACTGGAAAAATTGTTTTAGTATTTTTTTTTTCAACAAACCCAACTAAAAAGTGAGGGGGAGGGGACAATTGCACGAACACTGTTGCATTGGGGTGTTATTCTGGGCTCCCTCGGGTTCCCGGTAAAGGGGCTTTAGACCCCAAGCAAATCCAATAGGACATTGACATGGTCAAGGAGAAATTCGGTGTTGTGTGTTTTGAAATGATGAGGTAAAACGGTTTCCACATTGTTTAAATGGTGCTTTTTCTGGAGTTCCTTAAATCACCGGGCATAAATCACATACAAAATCCTTTGCTTTTGTGAGGGTGCTAAACGTGTGTTCTTTGGAGAATGCAGGCATCGACCCCCGCTACCTCTCACATGCAAAGCGAGCGCTCTACCACTTGAGCTAATTTCCCCATGAACAGGGCTTCAAGACTACCGATTTTGTGCAACCCCCTCGATATGGGTTGCATTAGCAATTGCTAATGTGTATCTATAGACTTTTTTCATAGGGGGGTTGTCTGTTGGGTTTCCCCATTAACTGGTTGGCAAAATTTTACAGTACTAAGACAGGGAGGTTGAATCCTACACCCTTCCATATTCTCGGTGATAAGATTTAGCAAGCGCCTCGTCAAAACTTTGTTTTAACTCGTTTTTTAAAGACCTTTTCAAATTTTTTGCAAATGAATCGAATAGGAACCCTTTTTTCTGTGGTCTTTTATTCATCTTTTGCCCATGAGAAGAGATCAAGACTTCTTTGCTTTCAATTTTGCAACAACTTTTTAAAGTCTCACTAATTGGAATTTTTGTAAAAAAATTTTGCATTCGGGATTTAGACCTGGGGAAGCTGAGTTGTGTCACGTGCACTAGTGGATTTTTGGTTAAAAAAATGATTGTTTTTACTGGACCCTGATTCCCCACAAAAATTTGTTGGGAAAAAGTGTCCAGTTTTTGGACAAGCTTAGGGGAAAAAAAACCACTTTTTTTATGTATGTGCTGTAAAAACAGACCCTTTTCCCGGACTCATGTCCAAACAGGACCAAAGGGGGTTTCCTGTAGTGGTGAAAAAGAGTTGCAAGGATTTGAAAACCTTATCTATAGGTGCTTGGGTGAGAACGGTTTCAATCCATCGACCTCGAGATTATGGGATCCTCACGCTTCGCTGTGCTACTATGCTTTCTTGTTCAACCAAGCAGCTTGCCAGAATTTTGGGTTTCCTACTACATTTTCACCACCAATAAATCAGAAAGTGAGAGGGAAGTCCAGTCAAAGAGCAAGGGTCTACTTTTAGCTTTCCCTGTAAAAGGGGCAGTTTGAAAAGACAAAGCCATGTAAAAATTTGAGAAAAGGTGTTAAAAATGACCTGAATTGTAAGACAAGCTTAATTTGTTAACTGTGTTAAAATGTTTTTAAGGGTCCAGTGTAAGCTTAAAACCCTTTCACATAGCAGTGGCAGTGATGGGATTTGAACCCATGCCTCCACAGAGACTGGAGCCTAAATCCAGCGCCTTAGACCACTCGGCCACACTACCAAGACCGCACAGTTGTTTGTTGTCTGATTTCGGCAAACTTTTTAGAGAGAATGAAAACATTTTTGGCCTTCACTGTCGGTCCAAATAAGTTGTGAAAATGGTACCGCTAATGATTTTGCAGGTATTGAACTTACTGCTCCTTAGTTTATCTCACCTAAAAGCCTTTTAATGCACAGTACATGGAAAAATTAGTTTTAGTACTTTTATTTCAACGAAACCAATGTGATCAGAAAGTGAGTGGAGTGGACAATTGCACGAACAGTGTTGCATTCGGGTGTTATTCTGGGCTCCCTCGGGTTCCCGGTAAAGGGCTTTAGACCAAGCAAATCCCAATGGGACATTGACATGGTCAAGGAGAAATTCGGGTGTTGTGTGTTTTGAAATGATGAGGTAAAAGGGCTTCACAATTGTTTAAATGGTGCTTTTTCTGGAGTTCCTTAAATCATCACGTGGCATAAATCACATACAAAGTCATTTGTTTTTGTGAGGGTACTAATCGTGTGTTTTTTGGAGAATGCAGGCATCGATCCCGCTACCTCTCACATGCAAAGCGAGCACTCTACCACTTGAGCTAATTCCCCATGAACAGTGCCTTCAAGACTACCGATTTTGTGCAACCCTCGATATGGATTGCATTAGCAATTGCTGATGTGTATCTATAGACTTAGACTTTGTTTTAACTCTGTTGTTTGAGAAGACCTTTTCAAATTTTGCAAATGAAATCGAATAGGAACGCCTCTTCTGTGTGTCTTTTATTCATCTTTTGCCCATGAGAAGAGATCAAGACTCTTTGCTTTCAATTTTGCAACAACTTTTTTAAAAAGTCTCACTAATTGGAATTTTTGTAAATAAATTTGCATTCGGGATTTAGACCTGGGGAAGCTGAGTTGTGTCACGTGCACTAGTGGATTCTTGTTAAAAAATGATTGTCTTTTACTGGACCCTGATTCCACTAGAAATTTGTTGGAAAAAGTGTCCATTTTTATGGACAAGCTTAGGGCAAAAACCACTTGTTTTATGTATGTGCTGTACAAACAGACCCTGTTTCCCGGACTCATGTCCAACAGGCCCCAAACGGGGTTTCCTGTAGTGGTGAAAAGAGTTGCAAGGATTTGAAAACCTTATCTATAGGTGCTTGGGTAAAACGGTTTCAATCCATCGACCTCGGGTTATGGGATCCTCACGCTTTGCTGTGCTACTATGCTTTCTTTTTCAACCAAAAGCAGCTTGCCAGAATTTTGGGTTTCCTACTACATTTTTCCCCACCAATAAATCAGAAAGTGAGGGGGAAGTCCAGTCAAAGAGCAAGGTCCACTTTTGCTTTGCCTGCTACAAGGCAGTTGAAAAGACAAAGCCTGTAGAATTTGAGAAAAGGTGTTAAAAAGTGACCTGAATTGTAAGACAAGCTTAATTTGTTAACTGTGTTAAAATGTTTTTAAGGGTCCAGTGTAAGCAAAAAAACCCTTTCACATAGCAGTGGCAGTGATGGGATTTGAACCCATGCCCCCACAGAGACTGGAGCCTAAATCCAGCGCCTTAGACCACTCGGCCACACTACCAAGACCCCCACAGTTGTTTGTTGTCTGATTTCTGCCAAACTTTTTAGAGAGAATAAAAAACATTTTGGCCTTCACTGTCGGTCCAAATAAGTTGTGAAAATGGTACCGCTAATGTTTTTTGCAGGTTTTTGAACTTACTGCTCCTTAGTTTATCTCACCAAAAACCCCTTTTAATGCACAGTACATGGAAAAATTAGTTTTAGTACTTTATTTAAACGAAACCAATGTGATCAAAAAGTGAGGAGTGGACAATTGCACGAACAGTGTTGCATTCGGGTGTTATTCTGGGCTCCCTCGGGTTCCCGGAAAAAGGGCTTTAGACCAAGCAAATCCCAATGGACATTGACATGGTCAAGGAGAAATTTTCGGGGTGTGTGTTTTGAAATGATGAGGTTAAAGGGCTTCACAATTGTTTAAATGGTGCTTTTTCTGGAGTTCCTTAAATCATCACGTGGCATAAATCACATACAAAGTCATTTGTTTTTTGTGGGTACTAAATCGGGGTTTTTTGGAGAATGCAGGCATCGATCCCGCTACCTCTCACATGGCAAAGCGAGCACTCTACCACTTGAGCTATTCCCCCCATCGAACAGTGGCCTTCAAGACTACCGATTTTGTGCAACCCTCGATATGGATTGCATTAGCAATTGCTGATGTGTATCTATAGGATATTCATAGAATTTTTTTAACTCTGTTGTTTGAAAAGACCTTTTCAAATTTTGAAAAATGAAATCGAATAGGAACGCCTCTTCTGTGTGTCTTTTATTCATCTTTTGCCATGAGAAGAGATCAAGACTTCTTTGCTTTCAATTTTGCAACAACTTTTTTAAAGTCTCACTAATTGGAAGTTTTGTAAATAAATTTGCATTCGGGATTTAGACCTGGGGAAGCTGAGTTGTGTCACGTGCACTAGTGGATTCTTGTTAAAAAAATGATTGTCTTTTACTGGACCCTGATTCCACTAGAAATTTGTTGGAAAAAGTGTCCAGTTTATGGACAAGCTTAGGGCCAAAAAACCACTTTTTTTATGTATGTGCTGTACAAACAGACCGTTTTTCCCGGACTCATGTCCAACAGGACCAAAAGGGGTTTCCTGTAGTGGTGAAAAAGAGTTGCAAGGATTTGAAAACCTTATCTATAGGTGCTTGGGTGAGAACGGTTTCAATACATCGACCTCTAGATTATGGGATCCTCACGCTTTCGCTGTGCTACTATGCTTTCTTGTTCAACCAAGCAGCTTGCCAGAATTTTGGGTTTCCTACTACATTTTTCACCACCAATAAATCAGAAAGTGAGAGGGAAGTCCAGTCAAAGAGCAAGGTCTACTTTTAGCTTTGCCTGCTGCAAGGCAGTTGAAAAGACAAAGCCATGTAGAATTTGAGAAAAGGTGTTAAAAATGACCTGAATTGTAAGACAAGCTTAATTTGTTAACTGTGTTAAAATGTTTTTAAGGGTCCAGTGTAAGCCTTAAAACCCTTTCACATAGCAGTGGCAGTGATGGGATTTAAAACCCATGCCCCCAGAGACTGGAGCCTAAATCCAGCGCCTAGACCACTCGGCCACACTACCAAGACCGCACCAAGTTGTTTGTTGTCTGATTTCGGCAAACTTTTTAGAGAGAAGGGAAAACATTTTGGCCTTCACTGTCGGCCCAAAAAAGGTGTGAAAATGGTACCGCTAATGATTTGCAGGTATTGAACTTACTGCTCCTTAGTTTATCTCACCTAAAGCCTTTTAATTGCACAATAACATGGAAAAATTAGTTTTAGTACTTTTATTTCAACGAAACCAAAGATCAGAAGTGAGTGGAGTGGACAATTGCACGAACACTGTTGCATTCGGGTGTATTCTGGGCTCCCTCGGGTTCCCGTAAAAAGGGCTTTAGACCAAGCAAATCCAAATAGGACATTGACATGGTCAAGGAGAAATTCGGGTGTTTTGTTTTTTGAAATGATGAGGTAAAACGGTTTTCACAATTGTTTAAATGGTGCTTTTTCTGGAGTTCCTTGAATCATCACGTGGCATAAATCACATGCCAAATCCTTTGCTTTTGTGAGGGTGCTAAAGTGGTGTTTTGGAGAATGCAGGCATCGATCCCGCTACCTCTCACATGCAAAGCGAGCGCTCTACCACTTGAGCTAATTCCCCATGAACAGGCTTCAAGACTACCGATTTTGTGCAACCCTCGATATGGGTTGCAGTAGCAATTGCTAATGTGTATCTATAGACTTTTTTATAGTGGCTTGTCTGCTTGTTCCCCATTAACTGGCTTGGCAACATTTACAGGTACTAAGACAGGGATGTTGAATCCTACACCCTTCCATA